AACGATTCGTCTTCTAATTTCGGTCTTTGAACGTCAGAAGATTGATTCTAGTAGATGTCACAGAAACATTTTCCATTTTTTTGCAGAGACATTTAATGTTGTCTTGATTGTGTTATTACATGCACAGCAACGTTGAGTTTTTATCTTTTATTAATTTGTTTTGTTTGTTGAGTTGTTACATTCTGAGAATTAACAAACAATTATATAACGGCTAATTGAGGGTTACGAGAAGATGAAAAAATAATATTTACTTTGTAAAACTATTTATTGAATTTCATGGTTAATCGATTTGACATGCCGTTTTAAGTACAAAAAATGCAATAACACGCATTCATTTCCTCTAAGACTAGCAGGGGAGGTTTTGTTACATATTCATAGAGTATATCTTAGTCAGAAAAATTGAAATCAAGCTGAGATGCCAAAATTTACACAAGTAAAGAATACTGTCAAATATGCATATTTATCATTGAGAAACTGGTAGTGTTTGTCTAATCCTGTCAGAACAGTACATCGCACTGGAAGTGGAATAGATACGTTTACGTTAAAAAAAACCAGTTGTACTCTTAATAATACATAACACAGAGTTCAGCAAAACGATTGACAGAACAACAAACCACTCCTACACCCAACTACTCAGTAAAAGTAGACAGAATAACAAACTACTCCTACACCCAACTCCTCCGTAAAAGTAGACAGAACAACAAACCACTCCTACACCCAACTCCTCAGTAAAAGTAGACAGAATAACAAACTACTCCTACACCCAACTCCTCCGTAAAAGTAGACAGAACAACAAACCACTCCTACACCCAACTCCTCCGTAAAAGTAGACAGAATAACAAACCACTCCTACACCCAACTCCTCCGTAAAAGTAGACAGAATAACAAACCACTCCTACACCCAACTCCTCCGTAAAAGTAGACAGAATAACAAACCACTCCTACACCCAACTCCTCCGTAAAAGTAGACAGAACAACAAACCACTCCTACACCCAACTCCTCCGTAAAAGTAGACAGAACAACAAACCACTCCTACACCCAACTCCTCCGTAAAAGTAGACAGAACAACAAACCACTCCTACACCCAACTCCTCCGTAAAAGTAGACAGAACCACAAACCACTCCTACACCCAACTCCTCCATAAAAGTAGACAGAACAACAAACCACTCCTAAACCCAACTACTCCGTAAAAGTAGACAAACAACACCCAACAAAACACCGTCCAGGTAGCTTGACTGGGTACATTATACCAATAGCTTGACTGAGTACATTATACCAAATGTGTGGTGAGAAGAAACACGATTTACGTGTGCATCCCCTTTGTTTTTATGTAAACGATGTGTCGTAAATTAAAGTTAATTTGTATTGAACAAATTTTTTAATGGCAAAGTTGAATTATGACAAGTTGAAATACGTATGATTTTTTTTTAAAAATTTTCTTTTATATTCATTGGTTATTTTTTTGTGAAATCAGTAACATTGACCCTTATCTTAAATCTCAGTAACATTGACTTTACCTTAAATCTCAGTAACATTGACATTACCTTAAATCTCAGTAACATTGACATTTTCTTAAATCTCAGTAACATTGACATTTACCTTAAATCTCTTGTCTAAACTTTTACCTTTTTTGTCGTTGTAAAAAAAATCTCAGAATTGGAAGACGTTGGATTTAAGTTCCTTTCAATTCATTCGGATTGAAAATGATGAATTTTAATGCCAGTGACATTGACTTCATTTGTATGAAATAATTGCACTGTTTTGGAATATCTGATTGAAATGTTATGAAAAATCTCAGGTTACCATGATAGTTATAAGGGAAGTTACAGATTTTTATGTTACAATAAAGTAGTGATTGAGCTCTTAATATACATTCATAAATTACATTTCTTCATGAGTTAGGGTCTGACACATTCTGGTTATATATATTTTTCAATGCCTATTAATTTTCACAATTTTATTCGCCCGATCTTGTGCCGAAATTCAATCGTTGTCTCCCATGAATATAATCACATAAAACTTTACCATGAACTGACACAACTATATTAACTGACCAATGTCTTATAGTAGTCTCAGCATAAAGATATATTTTTCAAACAACACTAAGTTATATGAAAACAAGACTTGCCAAACAAAAATATTGAATGATATTTTACCATAACACATGACTTTCAATACACATATATGCCTTTTAACTCGGTGATGTTGAATATCAATGTGAGAGAACAGTTTGTCAAGTGTGCGCCATTGTAGTTAGATCCTAATAGGGTAAAGTGTTAATTTTGTATTGATGAGCTTATTGCAGTGTTGACTTTACCCTTCAAAGCGTCTAAATATGACATCTGTGTACGATTATTTACGTGAAATATTTCATTTCAACCAGTAATGAACATCGATAAGTCAATAAAACTAAGGACTAATTAAGAAAAAGTCTTATATCCATATAGTGCAAAGTTAATTTGTTTTTAACACTTCGGTTTACTAATCGAAATTTGAAAAAAAATTATAATATAAGTTTATCTCGATGGATGATCTAATTTGCAGTTTACTAAATGTAAATTATATATGAAGTATATTAGAGTGCTACAACAGATATTTATCCAATATCGTAATTGGTGTAATAATATTTGTAAATCATTCAATAATACTACGCAATACAAGCGACTTATTATAATAATTATAGGACATATTGCCTAGTGCCCTTCTTAAACTGATCTTCACATTTTTTGAACTGAAAAGTGGATCTATATAAAGTGCACAATGACTGTTTTCTGATAGATATGAGTGGTCATACAATATAACTCCCGTCCAATAGACTTGTCTCCTTCCGCCGTTTACTTGTATAAACCATAAAAAACAAAATTAGGACACATGTTCTTTCACAAATGTTCAAGAAAAAGTTTAAAACAAAACTTTTTTTCTCACCAAATAACGCAGTTTCTTTAAAAAAATAAATAAAATGACAACTTTAACATAAATATGAGCGATGTACGTTAGTGAAACTTTAGCCCAGCTACAAATGTACATAAAAATACCAAAATACATGCTTTCCTTTAGAACTACATGAGATTACAGTGCTTATCAATTAGTTTTTACCAACATGTGAAGCAAGTGACGAGACACTAGTGAAGAACTGCTTACTCTTAAATAGTTTCTGATTTCAACTATGTTTTATGGTGGGGTACTTGTTGATTAATCTCAAGCTTTCTATGTAGCGTTTATATTGGTGTTGTCTATCTATTCCCTTATTGGTATCTTCTTTCAATTGGTAGTATTTCTTTATCTGTTTAGCTATTCTGTCACCAAGGACAATGCCAGCACTTACACATTGACTCCGGCGTCAGTATCTTCTGAAACAAAAAGCCAAATATCCTTTATATTTATCAGTCGTGATGTATGTCAAACTAATACCCATTTTGTTTTTTATCAGCCGCTACAGGCAAATATATTATATACAGATTAAACCGGAGTTTTTGCCATATATCTTAAGTTAAAGCAGTTATAACAAAACTTACTGAGTAAAAATGTTCATCAGATCAAGATCTATATACCTTGAAATCTTAAGAGAAATCGACGGGCAGCTTAATTCTGAATTAAGACCCCTAAAATGTAGTTTTCTAGCATATTTCATATTTTTTGGCTTTTTAATTATCTTGCAAACTATAGCAGATAGAGAAAATTTTAACTGAAAAAATGACCAGCAAGAATAGATTTAAAAAAAAACGTCGGAGCAGTCGGAGTATAGAATATTTCCATGTAACAAATTACTTGATAAGGCATTTAATTTCTTAAAAGTGCTTTGAATAATTTCAGTATCTTCTAATTCTAATTTTCATCCATTTTTGCATATTGTGCTGTTGACAAAACTTATACATGTACGTATATAAGATATGTACATATAATTGTTTCATATAGTTTACATCTTTGTCTTTTTGTCTTTGGTAGTTTAATAGTTTACTCATTGGCTATCAGACAATTTCGCCTTATTCCTAATTTAGACAATGAATTATTATATAATGCATAATAGCAGTTAATAAATAAGTGCTATGATGTGGCATTGTTTTCATGGTTACAAACCACAAGGATGCATCATATTAAAATGGTGGTATTTTTTTACCATACTAAATGAAATGAAATGATGTCCCTAATAAACCCATAAAACTGTGACGAAATACGCACTCAAATAAAAATGTCCATTAAACCAGAAGCCACAATTCTCAAAGAGAGAATTAATTAGTACATTTTCACAGAAGAATATTTCCCACTGGATGTTGTCCTATTACTTTAACATAGTTAGTATTCATGACATGATAGGTTACTGGTATAATAAGCTATTCTAGTTAAAATATTAACACTAACTTTGTTCAAAGAAGCTGCTAATTACAAAAGGTTATCCTGTTTAAATCTAAAACAGTGGAACGAGACGCCACTGATAAAATCACGCTTAGATAGTCAACTTAAATCTTTGCTTTCTCATGTAAAACTAATTTTGATGAGATTTGATCAATTTCAATTTCAAAATTTGTGAAATATGTTAACATGATAATAGTTTTTTTTAAATATATTATATACATATACTTGAAAGTTTTAAATAGCTACAAGAATCCTGCGGCTTATGAAGTATGTTAGATGTATAAAACAATAGTTTGATTATGTATCTTAATGTTCTGTCACTAAGTATCGATAGGAGATCTAGGATAGAACATGTATCGTTAAATTATTACAATTTTCTAAACTCAGCGCTTTTTTTAGAGCTTGACATACTCTACTGACAACCATCGTCTTTCGAAAACCGTAAAACAAGGCTGAGCTATTGATATTTTTGTGTTTTTTTTATGTTGTTGGCTTGCAGTCACATTCACTTTTACCCGTCATCGAAAATCGTCTGCAAATTATTAAGTTAGGAAGATTGTGATTGGCTTTACTATTTTCTGGTGATTGTAGATTTTGCATCATCTTAGGTTAACAAATTTATTCTAATTTTGTATTATTTTTCAGAGTACTATTACAGAATGCACCGTTTTAGAGATAAACACAGTTTAAGATGTCTTCCAAACGTAAAACAGTGAGTCAAAGGACACCTCCTTAGATACCGTTGTTTAAGAACCGTACTCGCCATGAACATAAGTACCAATCTAGATAAGTCAATCTTGCCAAACGACAATTCAAATTATGAAGTCAAGCGTGGTATTTCCGACACAACGAAAAATACAGCTGATATCGGAACTACGTTTTCTATGTCGGACTTATGGCCGTTCATATGTGATGACAACGACACCTGGTGTCTGTTTAATGATACATCATGGATATCAAACAGCACAGCGGAAGTAACGACAGGATTGACGACAGATATGGTAACACTAAACACTACCGGTGATTTTCATAATTCTACAGTTGAAATAGATACACTTTCTGCAAATAGATACTGGCTATTAGCACTGTTGGTTTTCCCGCTTTTAACCGTGTTTGGAAACGTCCTTGTCGTTATGAGTGTAGTTCGTGAAAGACAATTGAAAACAGCCACGAATTATTTTATATGTTCCCTTGCCGTAGCGGACATAATGGTAGCCGTAGTAGTAATGCCACCAACTGTTTACTTAGAGGTAAAATTGTAAGATTTTATGTTAAAGTCAAACACACGAGTTATTGCTAGGATAGCCTACATTCTGTTATGCGATATTTTTGCTGCTCTATTATTTTGACGTTATTTGTCCCCTTTCCCTAAACCGAACAGCTAAACGACGTCATAATCTTAAGAAGTTTAGGTTCTGACATGTCCTCGCCAAAGGAAAGAGATTTAAACCTCCTGAAACATAATCAGATCGATATTTTATATAGCATTTATTATATATAAGAGGTTGGATGAATATATTTCGTGTGATATTAGCGCTAAATGTTGAATTAGGCAACATATCCCTCAATTGTTGTAATCATAATTCAAGAATATTCGAATGAGAAATAATGATATTGCAATTAATATGTAGCAAAAGATTTTAGTATCTTTTGGTGTTTGGATTGTCTCGGCCTCTATTTGTGACTCGAACAGTTAGACGGGAAGAATTCCCGGTTTATTTCAACATGTGGTATTAGAGTTACGTCGCTTTTTTTTAAACGCAACTTATATACTAGCCTTGTTTGCTGTCAAAACATCTATACTTGTATGGAATGTCGTTAACTATTTCTATCATGTTTTTGTTAACCTTTTCTCAACAAAAGAACACGTGTCTAAAATATTCCTGGTTTCTTCAGTGAAAAGTTAATTTTCTTGGGGCATTATCGTGATAAAAGACTGCATTTAGGACAGTAGCGTTGACTTCAACATTGATAATGTTTCTGTCAATACTGCTGTCCCTTGAACAGTTTACACATCACACTTATGACATTTTCTTAAGAAACTAGTATGTAAATATACATTACCCATTGAGCAGTAGTGTTGACTTCAACATTTAAATGCCCTCGCCGTCGACACGGGTATTATTAATGTTTCTGTCAAAACTACTGCCCCTTTGCAGCCTATAAACTGTACCTTTTATGAAGATGTAATAGAATTTTACTATTATTAGTATTTGTCAATTTACTGTGGATAAAGGAATTATGTATTGTAATTCACTTGGGATAACAGAATTGGGTAATAAAAATTCACTTGGGATAACGGAATTAGGTATTGACAATTCACTTGGGATTACGGAACTAGGTTTTGACAATTCACTTGGAAACTCAACATATACCCCTCAACACTTACCAAAGATGAAATCCTGAACAATCATAGGTCTGTTCTACGTTCCTTTGGAATTTCAACCAAAGATGAAAAACTGGATCTTCCTTCACTACAAACAACGTTATATTGCTTCGTTTTCAAAGTATTCCAAGAAATCTATTTATGAATTTTTAACAGCAATCAAAGCCGGGCTTTAGAGACTGTTATTGTGAAACTAACTATTCTCGTGCAGTGAGAATCGGATGTGGATACTGAAAATCTGTAATAGTGCATAAATCTTATTCCTCTTGCAATAGTATAAAAACCTTTGACTTTTCTACCCTTTAAACAAGTATTCCCCATTCCAAGCTAAAAGACAAATTGGTCCTATTTGTTTGATAAAAAAGAATGACCAGCTTAGATACAAACATCTTGTTTTAGGGAGAGATAAATCGTACTTTGTAAAAATCAAACCTCTCTGATTCAAATAAAAAATTCTCTGAAACTGACATTTCTTGATTGACATTTCTTGATTGACAATATATTGTTACGTGTTTTTCAACAAACCATCGGCATTCCCATTGGAAACAAATGTGCTCCTTATACTTGCGACTTATTCCTTTATTTATATGAGGCAAGTTGCATACATGAGCTTCTAAGGAAGAATAAGTAAAGTTTGCATTATCCTTTAATTTTACGTTCCACTACATAGATAATGGCCTCTGACTGGACAATTCAACGTTTGGTGACTATGTTGAACACATCTGTCCCATCGAACTTGAAATAAAGGATACAACAGACACAGTTAAGTCTGTCTCATATCTTGACTTATATCTAGAAATTGACAATGAGAGTCGGTTGAGAACAAAACTTTACGACAAAAGTGATTATTTCAGATTCCCAATAGTGAATTTTCCATTTCTATGTAGCAACATTCCAGCAGCGCCTGCATGTGGCGTTTATATCTCCCAGTTGATATCACCCTAGTTATTTTTTATAGGGGTTGGTGTTGCTCTTACTTAAGTTTTAAGTGTTGCTCTATTGTGTTGTTTAATTTTTCAATGACTGTGTTGTTTATATCGATAACAGTCTGTTCTATCCTTTATCACGAAATAAGTGTTTCAATTTCAAAATCTCATTCTCGGTTTTACGGTTAAAAATTAACATGACCGACGGTTTGCGAATTTGGTGATGTCTTAATGTTAGATTAGAGTCGAACACCAATCTGGTATTATGTAATGCCTTATTACTTGATATTACGTATCGACGTATGATATAGGAGTATGTATTACGACGGCTGTCACATGTGGAGCAGGATCTGCTTATCCTTCCTGAGCACTTTAGATCACCCCAATATTTTGGTGTGGTTCATGTTGCACAGTCTTGATGCTTTCTAGACTTTTGTTTTTGTCTTTTGGGCGTTTTTCGTTTTTTGCGATTGCAGTACCAGTTCGTTTTCGACATATAAGTTTGACTATCCCTTTGGTATCTTACAGCTTTTTTTAATGAATATGAAAGTATACGGTATAAGTCCAAATGCATGACACAAAATCAGCACGCGCTCGCTCATGAAAAAAACCCGAAAGCAAAGAAACAATGTTTTCATTGCTGTGCTCCATCTCAAAGTCACGACGAGGCCTTCAGTGTCCGTTTGAAAAAGTCTTAGGTAGGAGTTTGTCAAAAACTTATGTTTCAGATATAATAGAGTCGAAGCATGTAAACTGCTGTCTATAAATTTGTTCCTGTATTATGAATAAAATGTGAAATGCTTATTCATGAATAGAAAACTACCAATCATTAACATATGTCCAAGCCTCGGGACATTTTAATACTTTTCATTTGATCAGCTTTAATATGGGCTTCTGGTATAATTTGACTTCGATTATACTTATTATGTGTTTGACGGATCAATGATCAATATAGTAATTACAATCGCATATTAAAAACTCTCTGATTAATTCAAGTTTTTGTAATAATATACTGGTAGAAAAAACGATTATTAGTAGTTGTGTTTTACGAAATTTATGTTCTGAAATAGCTTTTCTGAATTTACAAAACATCTTGGTTGCTTTGAAAAAATTTGTTCAGTTTTCAAGAGTCTAACATATGTTCTAATTGTGCGGGAAATGAAAAAGTAAGTGAACACAAGTATTAATTACTCAAACTAAGAAAACATCTCAAGGTAGTAAAATTATATATCTTTGGAATTAAATGCACTTTTACTCCATCATGAATAGATTGCTTTAAACATTTGTACGGAACATGAAAGTTCATTTCAAAGTCTTCATACGATTCAAAACTAGCTTTTGATAGTTAATTACCGTAAAGTACACATAACCCTGAATTATAATTTTGAAGACAAAATCTTTTTTGTAAATTCATACACGTACATTTACATTAATTCATTGTCGAAGGTCGGTGGTTCTCTCCATGCACTCGGGCTTCCTCCACCAATAAAAACTGACCTCCACAATATAGCCAGCAGTACTGAAAGTGGGGTTAAACACGAATCAACCAATTAATCAATTAATTCACTTATGAAATATCAGCAGTAAATCGAGATGTCTCTGTTTACTTCATATAGACAACAATATTAGTGACTTTATATACTTGTGTTGACGTTCCTTTATGTGTCTTAAAAAAGAGGGACAAGACACGAAGGGAGAAATAAAATAAAACATAAATCACAGAAAACAGCACGACAAAAGAACGTATCCCTAAAAGACGAAGTGACAATCATCAGTCCACAAAACAGTACAAACACGAATAAAGATTGAATTTTTAAAACACGAACCTTATCAAACAGCTAAATGCAGCAGAATGCATGAAGCAATAAGAATAACACAAAACAAAGACAAAAAGTTAAAAAGGTAACTATATATCGTGGTCAAAATCATCTTAAAGCCAAAGAGACGCATCATAAAGCTCTTTCTATGCAATGACGAATTAGAGGACATAGAAAAACTCCACCAAACCAAATGTCCCAGGTTAGGGGGAGGGTTGTGCGCTCACAAACATGTTTAACCCCGCCACATTCTTTATGTGCCCGTCCCAAGTCAGGAGCCTGTAGTTCAGTGGTTGTCTTTGGTTCATGTCTGTCATATTTGTTTTTCGTAAATTGTTTTGTTATAAGTTAAGCCGTTAGTTTTCTCAATTGAATTGTTTCATATTTTCCATGTCGGGCCCTTTATATCCGACCATACGGTATGGGTTTTTCTCATTGTTGGAAGGCCGTATGGTTGCCTATAATTGCTTACATGCACTTCATTTGAACTTTGGTGGATAGTTGTCTCATTGGCAATCATACCTCATCTCCTTATTTTTATATATGTGACAACACAATACACAATATGACACTTCAAAAAAGATAACTTTGCTTTCTATCACGATTTCTTTTGGATCAATAAGGGATACATTTTGTGCATCAATGAGACAACAACCAAATAAACAATATGTAAAGTGCTGCAGGTAATTCGTCTTTTTTCTCATAACTTTTTTAGGACATATATGTGTAGATGATATCAGATTTTTAACACGTATACACACACGTGTATATAGTATGAAGTAAATCTCTTTATTTATTTATATGCAATTTGATTTCCCGGGCCACTCTTCTAGCTTCTTCATCTTACGCGGCACGTTGTGACGCACTTTATATGATTTACCAGTGATTTATTGTATCGAAGAGGCATAAACTAAGTCTCTATGGAGTAGTTTCCTTTACTTACTTGAGAGTATTTGTCTAGTATAGTTTAACACTATGATATAATACCTTCTGAAGTATCTATAAATTGTCCCGTTTAATCATCCTAATTTGTTTTGTTATTATGGAATCGTGAATAGAGGCAATTGTTGTTTTTTCTTAAAAGGATATGAATTATTGAAGAAAGTTCTTCGGATTTTCGA